CCCAGGTAGACCCCGCCCAGCCCCCCCCCCCCAGACCGCTCCACTGCTGGGAGCCAAACAGGAGGACTCAGGCCTACCCCTCTTCTGTCTTCTTCCAGAGCCCCGAGACCCCGGCTTCCTACCCTGCCCTCCAGGAGGGTGAGTGTCCCGCCCACCCTGGCCCCAGGGACTTCGGGGTTTCAGAACAGCCCGACTTAAGCTCCCAAAACCTGGCACAAAGTTTGCCAGTAACGAGTTGCTTCTAGAGAGACTCTGAGGTTGGGTCTGAGTAGATTCCAGACAACTGAAAGAAGAGAGACAGTCCTGAGAATGTTCTAGAATGAATAGGGAGCGTTAGGGCAGACTTGGCAAATTGTAGCACTTGACTTGGTTCTAGAGCAAGGGTTGGTAAATTACCATCCGTGGACTTTCTGGTATGTTTTGTGAGCTAAGACGGCTTCTGCATTTTTATTTATTTATTTATTTATTTATTTATTTATTTAATTTATTTTTTGCCAAGCCGCGCAGCATGTGGGATCTTAGTTCTGCGACCAGGGATCGAACCTGCGTCCCCCTGCAGTGGAAGCGCGAGTCCTAACCACTGGACTTCCCGCCAGGGAAGTCCCATGCATTTTAATTTTTATTTTATTTTATTATTATTTTTTAATTTACTTTTGGTTGTGTTGGGGGTTCATTGCTGCTCATGGGCTTCCTCTAGTTGCGGTGAGCAGGGGCTGCTCTTCATTGCGGTGCGTGGGCTTCTCATTGCGGTGGCTTCTCTTGTTGCAGAGCACGGGCTCTAGGCGCACAGGCTTCAGTAGTTGTGGCACGCAGGCTCAGAAGTTGTGGCTCGCGGGCTCTAGATCACAGGCTCAGTAGTTGTGGTGCACATGCTTAGTTGCTTCATGGCATGTGGGATCTTCCCAGACCAGGGCTCGAACCTGTGTCCCCTGCATTGCCAGGCAGATTCTTAACCACTGGGCCACCAGGGAAGCCCGCATGCATTTTTAAATGGTTGAAAAAACTTGAAAGAAGAACATTTCTTGACAGGTGAAAACGATAGGCAATTCAAATTTCAGTGTCCGCAAATAAAGTTTTATCGGGACAGACTCATGCCCATTCATTAGCGTGTTGTCTGTGGCAGCTTTCATGTTACAACGGCCAGACTGAGTAGTTGCAATGGAGACCATCTGGCCCACAAAATAAAAAAAAATTTACTGTTTGGGCCTTTGCAGAAAAGCTTGCCAATCTGCTCTCAAGGCATGAGAAGTACCTGTTCTGGCCACCTGGAATGTTCTAGAACATTCTCCCCCACGCTATCTGAGGCTCTAGGTCAAAGAACAAGTTCTGTGGGTGTGGGAAAGGAAGCTGGTTTGAACTTGTAGTTCCAAGAAGGTTCTAGAGTCCTGGGTGGAGCTGTGATTCACCTAGAGAGTTCCAGAACCTAGCATTTTGCCTGTGGTTCTAGATTAAAGTGTCCTCAGCTGATGAGGGTGTTCTGGAATGATGAACAGAGCTGTCAGGTTCTACTCAAGACTGGGGAGTTCTAGAACCATGGAGTGAATAGAATTTATCTCTGGTTCTAGACCTTTAGGAGCTGTACTAGAACTGGGCAGAACTGTCCAATTCAAGAAAGTTCTACAGCTATACAACAGAAATAGAATTTGAGCCACATGTCACTTGAAATTTTTTAGTTATCCACGTTAAAAAAGCAGACACTTACAATTAACTTTAATGACATTTAAATTAAGCCCATATATTTAAAGTGTTATTTCAACATGCAATCAACAGTTTATAATTTTACATTTTTTTTTATGAGAGCTTCTAAATCCGGCGTGCATTTTACACTTACAGCACATCTAAGTCCAGACCAGCCACATTTCAAGTGCACAATACCTGCATGTGCCTGGTGGCTACCATATTGGATGGTGCAGTTCTAGAACCCAGAGCAGAGTTATCTCTTGTTCTGGAATGCTTAGATCATGAAGGACAGTGGGCAGAACTGGCTATCCTTTAAGTTCACGGGAATGTGGTTTCATTCCCTGTGGCCTGTGGTTCTCCAAAAAGCAATAGCTTTTGGTTAGAATATTCTAGAATCACTGGCACTGCTGTCTGGCTCTAGGTTGCTCAGGGAATTCTAGAGCCATGGGGGCAAAGCTTTTTGTGGCTCTGGGCTGGTTTGGGGGGATTCTAGAACCATGAGCAGAGTTGTTCTTTCTGGATTGTTCAGATAATTCTTAGAATTGCCCAGTGCATCTGCAGTTGTGAGTTATTGAGGGGATTCTAGAGCCACAGGAGGGGCTTCCCAATGCTATATATATATATATATA